AGCCCGCTGGAGCCCGCCGGGCGGCGGAGGAAGCGCGCGGGGCCCGGCCGCCAGGGGGCAGCACCGCCCGCCGCCTCTTAAAGGCGCCGCGCCGGCCCCCGGGAGCTATTCGGCGCTTGTGTGTGTCGAGGACGAAGGGCGCAGGGCTGTGTGGAGCGCGGCCCCCGCCGAGAGGTTTGACTTTCTAAAGGGGCGAGGGGAGGGAGTCGCGGTGTGGGCGTTTGCTGCCTGTCTGGAGGGTGACCGAGCCACTGAGTCTCCTTGCCTGGAAACATCTCTGTACTCCCAGCAGTCTTCAGCACCCCCAAGGCGATTCATTGGAACTGCAGCGAGGGGGAAAGACATCCAATGAGATCACCTCTCTTCCCTCGAGGAAGCCGACCCCGGGCCCACGAGGGGACCCCGGGGAGGGGCATGAACAACCCCTGGGCTTAGGACGTTGACCACTGACTCACACCACGGAGAAGGGGAAGGGGCGGGGACTAGAAACTGCGGAACATCCCCAGGAGACCCTTTCCTTTGCGGGGTGAATCTAGTACCCTGGATTCACTAGCCCTGCCTGCCCTGCCATGCCCCGTGGGGGAGTGAGGGAGCATGCTTGCCCTCAAATGGGGGTTTTGCAGCAGGGGAGAGACAGATGGGGAGAAGAAATGGACCTCTCTCTCCAGGCCCAGGCAGGAAAACTGGATCAAGAAAGTTTTAGAGAAGACAGCTAGGCCGGCCTCAAAAAATAAGGAAGATTTTGACAGTCCTGAGGAGGGGGAAGAGCTTGAACTGAGGCAAGGCAAAATGAAAGGACCGTATTGTTGGGGGTGACAGACCCTCTCCTTGACCAAACTCGAGACAGGCTCCTCTGAGTCCTCTTTCTAACTAGGCCTTGGGCTCTGACCTTGGCCTGCTTAGTTCAGTTTTAATAAGAATCCTCCCACCCTTGGAATCTGATCACCCCGACCTGGCTGCAGTAAGAAGTCAGTTTAGCCAGACTCCTCCAAGCCTTGATGTTTCCACTTAGTAATTTTACATCCACTGACACCCTCACCCCCTGCCCCTGCTCCTTGGCTATAAATTCCCACTTTTCCTTGTTGTAGTCAGAGTTGAGCTCAGTCTGTCTTTCCTACTATAAAATCCTCATTGCAGTAGTCCCCTTCTGGAATAAAGTCTTCTGTGCCATCTTTAACAAGTGTCTGGTTAATTTTCTCTTTAACAGGGGAGAGAAAAGGATGGGTAAAGAATGGAAAAGACTGTGGTGGGAGACAGGACATCCACAGGAAGCCAGCTAGGGAAGGCTTTGCATGCCTTACTCATGGGTACTCGAGTTTCCGAGGCCTTGGGAGCCCATAAGGGAGGGGGTGACAGGGTCAAGGGCCAGCTCTGTGCCTTAGAAAGGCTGGCTCCTGGGGGAACATCATGACAAGGACACCCCCAAGGCCAAGGCAGGATAAAGGAAGGGAGCTAAGAGGGTAAAAAAAAGGGGGGAGGGAGGGCAACAATAAACTTTTTACTGTTGAAGTCAACAGTAGAAAATCCCTTTCCCTTACACAGGCACAGGCTCTAAGTGTTCTTGGGAGCAGAGAGAGCCGTTGTGGCTGGGTGATCACCAGGCTTCCTGGAGTTCCTTCACTCCTTCGACAAACACATGGAGCCCAGCGTGTGGCAGAGATACTGCTGGGCATTGGGTTACAGAGATGAGCAAAGCTGAGGCCCCAGGAAAATGGCGGCTACAAGCCATTGTTTAGAAACAGCCATAAGAGGGGCCGGCCTATGGCTCACCTGGGAGAGTGTGGTGTTGATAACACCAAGGCCCCAGGTTCGGATCCCATATAGGGATGGCCGGTTTGCTCACTGGCTGAGCGTGGTGCTGACAGCACCAAGTCAAGGGTTAAGATCCCTTTACCGGTCATCTTTTAAAAAAAAAAAAAAAAAAAAAAAACATCCATAAGAGAAATGGGAGGGGAGATGGCAATCTGTTCTGCTGAATGACTGGGGAGACTGTGGCATTGGATCTTGAAGGATGAGTAGGAGTTCAATGGGTAGGGGAGGGGCTGAGGCATTCCAGGCAAAGGGAAGAACAGGTGCAGAGGGTCAGAGCTGAAAAGGCAAGAACAGGTAAATAGTTGGGTGTGGTAAGAGGGGGGTGGGCAGGAGGCCTGAGCAATAGACCGTGGGAATTTGGGAAGGACCCTGAAGACAATGTGGTGTGTGTGTGTGTGGGTGTGTGTGTGTGTATGTGAGAGAGAGAGAGAGAGAGCTGTATGAAGTTCTTTTGGTGTTTGTATCTGTTTCTGTTCCTTATAACAAGATGCTTGGAACTGGGTAATTTATAAAGAAAATGAAATTTATTGCTTACAATTTCAGAGACTGGACTGGGAATTCCACAGTCCAGGGACCACATCTGGTGGTGGCAACAGTGAGCCAGAGGTCTCACATTGCAAGGCGGTGGAAGCAGAGAGACTCTAACCTCTCATGTTCTTCTTTTTAAAGACCTCAGAAACATGCCCCTGACCACCATTATTAATCCATTCACTACTGCATGGTCCTACAATCCAATCACCTCTTCAAAGCCCCACCTTTCAATTACCAGAATAGGATTTCCCACCCTCTTAACAGTCACAGTAGGCATTAAGTTTTGGGGGTACATTCAACATTATTAATCCATTCACTACTGCATGGTCCTACAATCCAATCACCTCTTCAAAGCCCCACCTTTCAATTACCAGAATAGGATTTCCCACCCTCTTAACAGTCACAGTAGGCATTAAGTTTTGGGGGTACATTCAACCCAAGGCAGTATCCTCATCTGCAAAGTGGGGATAAAATGCCCCACCCAGAGTTGTTGAGGGGATTTAAGGTGCCATCAGAAATCTTGCCTTGAGGGATAAGTATGTAGAAGGCTCAGGGAATGCTCAGACTCACAGAAAGTCTCTTCTTTAAGGCCCAGCCCTAGGGTGCTACTTTCTTCCCCTGATTACAACCTCCCCCAACAGTTCTTCTTTCTGGTCTCCCAAGTTGTGACTAGGTGAGGCTTTTCCACACTGGGACTTCTAAGGTGATCACACATGTCCACTGTTTCCACCTCTCAGCTGGACCACTCACTTGCTATGTGACTTTGCAGGCCACTTAGCCTGCTGGGTCCTCAGATCCTCCATCCTGTCTCAGAAGGTAAGCCCTGCTCCATGAAAGCACTTCAAAATACAAAACAGCAGTGGCTATGAGGTCTGAAATATGTCCTATTATGGGAGTGTGGTGGGGACAGGGTAAGAGTAGTGATATCTCTCATGAGAACAGGAAAAACAGTCGTTAGTTGCAGAAAGACCTGGCTTGGGGGTCCTAGTTAAGTTCATCTCAGCTTGGGCAAGTCACTTAAGTGCTGTTTCTGAGCTCCAAGTGGGAAAACTAATGCTTAAAGGATTGTGGTGAGCATGACAACAGTGTGTTGGACCTGGTCTCAGCAAACCATCAGCTTATTAATGTCTCATCCAGGATTCTTTTGTTTGTTTGGTTTTGGTTTTTTGTTTTGTTTTTGGCCACTGGCCTTACAGGAATCCAAACCCTTGACCGTGGTGTTACGACACTGTGCTCTAACCAAGTGAGCTAACCAGCCAGCCCTCATCCAAGGATTCATAACTTGAGGCCCAGGTTAAGCTCCCCACCCTGCCTTACCCAAGGGTCTCAGAACTCCTGTAGCTGCCAGAAATTATGTACATAATGGTCATAGACTTCAACAAACTCTCAAAGTGTCTGTGAACAGCCCCAAAATTTCAAGAGTCACTGATTATTCCAACTCCTCTTATCAATGAAGAAACTGGGACACAGAGAGAGAAAGGGACTTACCCCAGATCACAGAGCAAGTAAGTGGGAAAGTTAGGACCAGCATCCCAGGGCAAAGAGACCCCCTTCATCTCCTGACACACACACACACGTGCACACACACACACACACACACACACACACACTGCTCACCATCTCTCTGGAGATCAGGATGTGACAAGGGAGGTGCGGGTTCTAGGACTGGGATGCCTGCTGGAGGTGGAACAGGATCCTCCCATTGCACAGGTGGGACCAGGGACCCACCCACTCTTTTCTGAAACCTCGGACAGATCCCGTGGAGAATGGAAAACTCTACATTTTCATCTGAGTTTTAAGGTCTTGGTCTTCCTATAGGGAGCCCAGGGCTAGGACCACCCTCCAGAGCTATCCCACCTTGACCAAGGGAGTGGGCCTTTTTGCCTACCCCACCCCTGCCTAATCAACCAGTCTGGATATAGGC